TACACTTATCCCTATATATACAATTTTATGTTCACTTTGTAGGTATTCATTTATTTTAAAATTGAAGAGATTCTAAAATTGGTCCTGTGGTGATGAGCAAAAGAATTAAATTTGAGTATATAGATGTAACAGTTTCTTTTCTTCCATTATGAAATGTGGCACAGTAGTACAAAATTTATTTCGCATAACGCGTTAAATTAAAACGAAACGTTACTGTACAACTTTTCTTATTATTAATATATTAACGTTATTATTGTCATCATTATTACCCGTATTATATTTATATTATTGCTTATATTACTTATACTATTATTTATTTATTCTTTATATTATTTTCTTTATGTATACAAGCTACAAATTAAATGCCGCAGCTTTCCGGGAAGTTCTAAGATATTATTATGATTGATAATTATTTATTTATTCAATTGTAATATTATATTATGCATTTTTGTATAAAATGATAAGCTTTCCGTAATTAATAAAAGTTAACTTGTATTTTTACAATAATTAAAATATCTGTTCGTAGAAAACATTGATTTTAAAGAGATTCTTACAGTAGATCCATCAAAAATATTTTCAAGTATATATATTCAATAAATTGATATAAAAAACATGAAAACCAATTGAAATTATTAAAAATGGATAAGATAAAATCATGGAAAATTATATCTTAATAAATAAAAGAGAATTATTGAAGAAAATCATTATTGTGTTAATTATACTAAAACAGTAAAGCTGATTTTTTTATTTTAAAATTAGTGTTTTGTATGTAATTATGCATGCAAATTTCAATTTCCTATATTTTTGTTAATTGTTAAAAAATAAAGAAAATTTGAAGTGTATAAAAATGATTGACTTTGGACTATCAAAAACATTAATTAAAAAAAAATTTTTTTATACATTTAAAACAAATATATTAAAAATAAATCTTTTTAATAAATTTTTAAATATAATTAATCATACATCTTTAATAAAATAAACATGACTTAGCTATTTAATCATTTCCTTGTATGTGAATGCCTCCATCCATCAAATATTCATGGTGGTCATGATTATTATGCAATACATTTGATGTTATCATTGACATAACAAACAATTGCATCACCCAGGTAGTAATAATACCAAGGCCATGCAAAAATGAAACTCTTAATAATGCATATCTACCCAGATCTCTGGGGCTCACAAGAATAAATAAATAGGATCAAAAAAATATTATGATTCCTTATGAATAATAAATCTGATGTTGATCACAGGTATCAGATTTAATCAAAATTTCCTATCACAAACATGCAAACTCGGTGCAATTAAGCGCAAATCAGCACCATGGAATTTTTCCCACAGGTGAAGAGGATTTGAACACGTTGGTAGGCTTTGGACAAAACTTTCCCTATCTTCCTTTCAGACCAGGCTTGTCTGTTGCCATATGGGCACTCCTTTAACCTAGAGTGGGTTATATGGGCAAAAGCCCCCATTTAAAAAATAACAAATTCAGTTGGTCAAACAAAAATTAAAGAGAAACAGAAAATTTGGGAAAATGATTATTTATAACATACCAAACAAAATCCGAACCATTTTATTTTACAGCTTTCCTCCTAACATCAGAGCCCAAATGCAATTTCAGGGACACCAACCCCACCCTCTGGACAATTTCTAGCAACCTCCCGTGCTTGAAATGAGTTGCAGACTCTTTTAATATTTCTGCAGAGTTGTAACTTAGTTGCAGAGCCATCCTTACCTTAGAGGCAGGATTGTTGCAGGCAACTTTTCGGCCAACATGGCAGCAGCCTTCTCTGGTCTGGGAAAAGTGTCATTGATGAACGATGCAGTCTCGGTAAACTCTAGGGCCATGTCGCCCCCCCTGGAATTCGGTTGCATCATTGTATCATCATGGGAATCTTGGTCAGATTAGCCTTGTGTACACGAGGAACGT